CCACTGTGCAAAGTGGCCCACTGTGAAAAGCGGCCGTTTCTCTCACTGATACTCTTTCTACAATATTCTTTTGGCCCTCTAGATCCCTCAGGTAAAGCTACGTTGTGCTAGACCCGACCCCATCTTCCCCTCGCTAGGCTCTAACGCTGCGCCCTCGTCTAAACGTATCGTTTACTTATGTTACGCAAATTTTTCAATAATGTGTTCTTTCATGATGTGTGTGTGACGTAACGTTACGCCACATTATTTGCACTTTCTCAGCGATATCACTTGAACAGTAGTGACCGCAAAAATTTGAGCTTTGCTCGACTAGGTTGCAAGCGAATTTTGGTTACGGTATTTTGTTCTGAAGTTATGGAACCACTCTTTGCGCTTTAAAATAGCCTCCGACCGTATCAAAATTGTACTGAGAAAGAATTTATCCGAGGTCCGAGCCCATGTCCCGAGGACTAGTTTATGCACTCTTTGGGGTTCCTTAGACTTCTAGTGAAGCTCAAATTGCTGTGAATACTAGTACCATTGTCATTTTCCGTGTGTTAGCACGTCAAGGTTTTTGGTTGCATGCCAACACGAGAACAAGCCAGTCTAAGGACAAACCGATCGTTGCTCAATGTAATACGACCCCTGCCTTACAGGAGACGAACCAGAAGAACACGTCCTGGCAACACGTCCTGGCCACACGTCCTGATCGAGCATCTGTCTTCACGCAGCTCATCGCTCAAGTACTGCCTGAAGAGGACCGTTCACGGACTTTATCTACTCAAGGTACGCAACTGTCTAATGTGTCCATCCACATCCACTCTTTCATCAAATTATATGATCCAGGAAGCGGGGATAAGTCGACTTGAAACCGTGCACTTTTGCAAAGCCTAAACCTTGCAGGTGGGAGAACAGATGGGGGAATTCATCTAAAAATAGATGCAAGAGGATGGGACTTGTCCCACCACATTTGTTTAGGGACCAAATTTTCGCTCATGTTTACTTGATAGACTGATAAGAGGTCACTGAATCAACTCGACTCAACCCCTTCTTCCGCTTCCTGGATCATACACTGTCAGAAAACTCCGTAAAAATACGGAAATTTAACGGAGAATGTCCATTTTTTTAAACGGAGATCTCCGTTTTCTTGAATTATGGATTTTCTCCGTAAAAATATGGACGTTTTGTATATAAATGAAAAAGAAGCCTTACATATCAAAAAGAACGGACTAATTCACGTTACCGATGGGTCGGGTGAGCAACTGATTGGGCGTTCTAAGAGTGCGCCTTCCCAAAAGCGACCTCGCCTTCGGGTTTCCGTCCATTTATCCGATCCAAATGGCATGTGGTTAAGTGGATCTTCAAACAGTTTTGGAAAATGTCACTTTCGTCTAAAAGGGCACTGTTTGTATTAACATCGAACGTGAAAGGAGAGAAGTAAACTGTTAATAGCGTTTATTTCTGCTAAAAATAGGTTCATCTCCGTAAAAATACGGAAAATCTCCGTAAAAATATGGAAAATTTACGGAGTCTCCATTCCCAAAATTAGAGTAACTTTCTCCGTAAATTTACGGACTTTTTTTTCTGACCGTGTATAATTTGAAATAAGGGTTTACAAAAAAAAAATACGATTTCAAGAAATCCTAGGAGTCACGAAGTCAATTTGATTATTGTGTAAGAGTGTGGAGAAAGAAAAGAAGTGGTGTTGTGAAGTTGTGGCTCAGGGGACTACGAATGGCAGTGGTACCAATGTGGTCGATGTGCCATCCGTCGAAATTTAAACTTGACAATAAAAAGAAATCAAAATGCTGGTAAATTCAAAAAATTCCAATGCTAATGTATTCCGCAGTGTTCTGACAATGGAACATCTTTGAAGTCCATCATGATTAAAATGTTCTTAGCAGAAAGAAGTCAGTAAATTAATTTTCTCGGGTTGGCAACTATTTTCTCGGCGTCTGCGCCCTTGCGAAAATCGCGAAGCTGAAAGCGCCAGCAGTCGCGCATTAAAACTGCCCCTCCATTGTTGTGGACGTTGAATTGTTTGGCTTGTTTCAAAAGGCTATGGTTCTCTAGTCATGTTTTCTTCAATTCTGTGTAATAGTTCTCCCTTACAACGTATCAACACCACGACGGTTGGTTTGACAAACTTCATAAACTCGGGAGGGATGGATCCGAAACGCGGGTGAGTCTTGTTCGAGGAACATGAGCACTGCAAGTCGCGAGGTGGAGCGAAGTGGTCCTAGTGCTAACTGAATCACAACAACAACACTGCGCATGTCCAAAAACACTCCAATCAAGAAGTATTATTGGATAGTTCTACCCGAAAAACTGCGTTCGAACCGGCACCAATTCTATTGTTGCATCTTGTCTACCTGCAGTCAAAGAAATTTTTCATTTCGAACGTTGCTTTTTCAGCTTTTGGAGTAAGCTGTACAGACCCAAAAAGAAGCTCCGCTATTGGTCCGCCCCGGCTCGGCTCCCCCCACTCCCTTTTTTTTCCTTTGACGAGTCGAGTTTTGCCATGGAAACGGCGATTTTGACAGCAAATTTCTCAAAATTGGCCACCAAATTTTTGACCAGATTTCAACATCAGAATCAGCGTTCAAAGTTCTACTAGTCTGCAAAATCTCATTAAAATCGTATAGAAAACTTCCGAAATGCATAAAGGGCCACACAAATCAAATCTCGAGCCGGCTGAGTCCTGGGTATACTATAAGGCTACTTCGTGCCTAAAAATTTGAAGTTGTTCGTCATTGCCTTTAGATATGCTGAGAATTCCTCGTATTTTTAGTGTCTGCATCGGTCTGTTCAATTTTACCAGAGTGGTGCCCGGGTTCGTCACTTCGGTGCCGCGCGCTCTTCCCCACCCCCTCTGGGAGGCGTTCCCCTTTGAATGGAGGCCGCTGCCGATGGCGGCTCCGTGTACACGTGCCGCCTTTGTCGCGGCGCGGAACAGCCCGGTGCACAGTGGGCCAGAAGAACAGCGGAGGCGGACACAACTCTAGACGCGTTTTGAGCTCCAGAGTCGCTAAACAGGCCCCGAACCGAACGTGTGACCCCACCAATGGATTCCTCGTTCGGAGAGCAATCCATTGGTGGGGTCACACGTTCGGTTCGACTCCCATTTAGCGACTCTGGAGCTCAAAAGTCGTCTAGAGTTTTGTCCGCCTGCACCGGTCTTCTGGCCCACTGTGCGGTGGGGCCACCAGACTGATCCCGAGAGTCACCTTCGTCGCTCTGTCTCTTTCCCACCTGCAGGAGGCACCCATGGCGGCGAGAGAGACAGAACGACGAAAGCGACTCTCGGAATCAGCCTGCTGCGCTGCATCCACATGCATGAGATGCACATTGCGCTGTTGTTGCTGCAGCGGGGGCTGCATTCAGCGCCTGCTAGCCGTGGAACAGGGGCTGCGGGCCGATTCCGAGTCATTTTCGCCGCTCCTGTCTCTCTCGCACTCATGGGACGTCTCGTACAGGTGCGAGGAGGACACTGGCGTCTCTCGGAATCCGTCTGTTGGGAGTTGCGTCGGGACCATCGCGGGCCCCGGGCTCGCCAGCCGATGTGGGCTGCGGTGCTGAGTCGAGCCTTGTCGCGTGCTCTATGGGGGTTCGGATGATCGCGGTGAACGTCGGGCGCGGTACACTGTTATCCAATGAATGAGAAGTCATATTCGAGAGACAGAATGTGCATTTTGTTACGTTGGTCTGAATGCGATGTCTTACTTCCTTCTCACTAACTTACTGTGCAGTTTTTTAGCAGATGATACCTTTGCTACCTTTGCTTTAAAATATACACCTAATACTACGAGACACAAAGGTGTCAGCTAGCTTTTACTCCAGAGTCCAGAAACGAAGTGCGTATCCTAACAATATAGTAGGGGCGGGCTGCCGGGGCGGGATGGTGAGTCTGTCTGGCTGGCTGTGGCTGGCCGCGGCGCAGCCTGCGCGGAATTCAACAATGCCTCCCGGCTAGGCTCAGCCCCGCGGGCGCCCGCGGACCTCGCGCGGCAAGGACTCAGGCGGGCTTCGGCTCGGCTTGCGTGTTTTTAGCAGATGATACCTTCACACTTGAAACATACTTAAAACTACTTTACACAAATGAAGGTGTCAGCGTGCTTTTACTCTCGAGTCCAGAAACCAAGCGCGTATCCTAACAATATAATAGGGGCTGGCGGCCGGGGCGGGCTGGTGCGTGTGGCTGGCTGGCTGGCTGGCAATGAGGCGGCAGCCTGCGCGGAATTCGACAATCCCTCCTCGGTACAGCGCCAGCGGCACCGGGCGTAAACAATGGCACCCCTCCTTGCATTGACAATCCCTCCCCGCCTGCCACGGCGCGGAGTATATTGCGCAACAATGCCTTCCGATTCGGCCCGGCTCACTCGGGTCTATGTATTTTGTTTCATACACAATTTTAAATACTATCTTTGAAATGAGCCCGCATTCTATCCCGTATAAGAAAACCATAATCGAGTATCATCTGCTTTCATTAACGTTCGTTGAATGAGATTTTAAAATATTGTATAAATTTGAATAAGCTGTAAAATTGTAGTATCTTTACTTTGTTTAAGCATAAGCTCTATATTAACCCCAGTACACCGTAATGTAAATATATTTGATACTTGCACATTGACATATGCTAGAAAATATAATTTTTAATCATATATGTTCTAACTCTTATTTAAAGATTTACGTACAATCACAAAGATGAGAGCATACTGCCAAAACTAGCACACGAGTATCATCTGCTTTCATTAACGTTCGTTGAATGATATTATTTGTATTTGACCTTTGCATTAAATTGTGCTTATTTCTATGCCAAAGCTATGCTCACTATGGAAGCCCTTCGAACTGTATTTTCGACCTTACAAAGAAAAGTACCTTGTCGTAACGAAGTATTTTGAGCACGCATAAGCTTACAAAGAAAATACCTCGTAATTTGCTAACTGTCTCAAACGTATGTCGCTGAATTGGCGACGCAAAGATTCTCCCGCGCGCCCCTGGTGGCCGCTTCGCGAAGCTCCCTAAAGGCTATACTGGGCACCGGCTTGCATGGCGATTAGCCGCGATGGATCATCAATACGCTAATGACGAGTCCCGTGGCTTGAAACGGAAGAAAGGAACCACTTATTGTTGTGTGCCACAGTGTTCACAATACGCCTCGGAAGGAATAAGCTTTCATTTATTCCCAAGAGAAAAAAACCAAAGGAAGAAATGGGAGTCAGCCCTCCGAATGGGCAAGCCAGCCTCGGATACTATGCGTGTTTGTTCGAAGCATTTCAGCTCTAAAGACTTCTTTCCCAGCTGTAAGTATCTGTAAGAATGTAATGTGGACCCTTATTAACCGTTCCATTCACTGGTTGTGGCATGTCACTTGCATAATACTGTGAAATTCGTTGTTTTGTTTATTGGTCTTTCGGGGTTATGTAAACTTTGTTTACCTTGCTGTTCTCTTTCAGCTAATTCTACCCAGAGAAAGAAATTGTTTCCTAAGGCAGTCCCATCTCAAAATCTGCCCCAACGAACTCATGACAAAGGTGTGACTTCAGATGAGGCTGAAAAACGTTCAGCCAGAGCAGGAAGAATTGCTAAGAGGGATGCTGCATCTCTAAGGTTTGTCTATTGTTTACACTAATTTAAATCAATAATAACATTGAAAGTATATTAAATGACAAATATTAGTTGTGTTCAAGATTGAAATTTATAAATTTCCATTATGTTCAGGTGCCCAGTCAACACTGAGACTGATAACGACACTAACGACACTCACACTGATGATGTAGAATTTGATGAAGAAATCCCCTGTCTTCGAAGCATTCTGGATTGTGCTGTTCAAGCAAATCTTGCTGACACAAGAAGTATTCGTCCTTGCTGTGAAGGTGTTACTCTGGCTGACATTCTAAGTGACTTAGATACTGGAGAGAAGTGCACTCAAGTCAACTTTTTGCCATTATGGAAAGATGAAGATGACAGCAAATCAGTTCCCTGCATTACTTTACCACAACTTCTGTGTACCAAAGAGAAACTGTTTACCTTCACTGGTCTCCATTCGCCTGATATGCTGGAGTGTTTAGCAAAATGTGTGGCAGATATAGCTGTAGATTCTCGAAGCAACAAGAAAATATTATCTGTTAGAGATAGAATTATTTTAACTATGGTAAAAATCAAGCAAAATATGGATTTCACTGCTATAGGTGTTCTATTTGGTATTAATCGTCAAACATGCTCTAATTATTTCAAGAATATGAGTCCGCTTCTTGCTAGAGTATTGAAAGTAGTGATACCGTGGCCGGACCAGAGCATGATAAGGTGTAACCTTCCCCTCTCTTTTGATAAATTTAGAAACACAAGAATTATACTTGATTGTTGTGAAGTAACCATTGAGAAATGTAAATGCTTAAAATGCAGAGTGTTAACATACTCCCAATACAAGAAAAACCACACTGTCAAGTTTAACATGGGAGTAGCACCTTCAGGACTCATAATTGAAACAAGCTCTGCTTTTGGTGGCCGAGCTTCAGACAAGCACATTGTCGCTGATTCAGAAATATTGAACAGGCTTGATTATGGAGATGCTGTCATGGTGGACAAGGGCTACCAAATAGAGAAGGAATGTCTTGAGGTAAGCTTCATATTATTGAATTTAACTGTAAATTGCGAAAAATGTTTGTCTTATTTTATTTTCTTTGCCTTTTAGAGAAATTTGACTTTGTATCGACCACCATTCTTGACCCAAAAGAAACAACTAAGTCGAGAAGAAGCTTTGTCCTGTGCTGAGATAGCTAGGGCAAGAGTGCATGTCGAGAGAGTTTTCCAGCGGATTCGAGAGTTTGATTTCCTTCGTGGGCCAGTACCTTGGCCTCTGGCCCCCTACTTTGAAGATGTCTTAACTGTTACTATGGGTCTGACTAATATAGGCCCACCAGTTATTAATATTGATAAGTTTATGTAAGTGTCTTCTGTTTTAATAAGAGGGACAGTTTCAATGTGTCAGACATTTTAATTGAAGTCAAGCTAATTAAAAACGAGCTTATAAAAAAATTGTTTTCTTAATGTCAGAAATTAAAAAAATTGTTGCACATGCCCAACATGAATTCACATACCTAATCATTAACAGTTTGATTAGACAGGTGGTCTTTTACCATCCTAGGTAAAAACTTATCAAAGTAAACATGGACAAGCCTTGAAAAGAGGTCTAACACATGTTTTTCATCAAAAGGAACTCTGACATAATGTGAATCTTTTCCACTTTCTGAGTAGACAACATATTCACACTATCTACCCCTGTGACCAACATACCTATCTGCATTTGGGCATAATGCTGGGTTTTCACCTTTACATTTCCATTCTCATCTAAGGTTTTAATACAATTATATTCCACAAGCTCCTGTGCATTGAGATGTTGACCTTCTTTAAATGTTTTAATTTCTATAGTGTTCAAAAACTTTCCTGTCTCATCGATTACAGTTCCATCAACACTAGCCCCGAACCAGGGTATTTCTGGTCTCACCAAAAGACCAGTCTCAAAAACTTTGCATCTACGTTGCTCTTCATAAAGGTCTCTTGCTAAAATTTCACAACGAAGTCCTGCAACTGTGTATTCATTTCCCTTGAATGTACTGTGGTACAACTCATTGTATCTTGCGTCCCAATCAGCTTTCTTGTTGACATAGTAGGTATACTGGGCTCTAGCTTTGCTTGCACTGATTCGAACACTGCGGTGCTTATGCCAAGCTGCTGTGCCCTGGGGTGTGTTGGCAAGTTCGACACACTCCTGGAGTTTACTTTCACAAACTCTTCGTAAAACTGAAGTAGGTTTGGGGCTAAGCAGTCAAGCTTCTGTTGCGTCAGCTGTCTCACAGCTGATACAACCCGCCAAGTGCGGAATGTCAGCAGCCTTTAATGGTAACTTTAATCTCCTCTTTGCGGCTTGCTGCATCCTGCGGGCAGCATGCTACTCCTGACCCTTGCCTCAGACAACTCGTGAAAAGGGAAAATTCACTGAGAACTGCACCTACAATGCACACAATAAGACACAAGAAATAAACATGAATTTGTTTATTTATAAAATACTTCAGCAACAGTTGTTAATAAACAAATCACAACACATACACAAAAGTGATTGACACAAAATAATTTCAAGGCTCAGACAGCCCACTCATAAAAGGTACAGTTCATTACAATACTATGACTTTCTCAAATAACAGAGAGAAGAAATCAAAAGAAAAAAAATTAAGTGCATTGATGGCTTGTAAAGAAAAACCAAACTTCATTTAGGCAAAAAGTGCCAAAAAGTAAATTATAAAAACGGTATAAAAAATGGAAAAAAAATCACGAGAATTTCTTACAGTTGGTCAGTGCTTCCTTCCACCTCTCTTCCATTTCTTTGGTGACCTCTGGCATGTTAGAAACATATACATCCCTCTTCGCTTTCACATGGCACAACTCGGTGAGTTTTTTCGCCTCGTATTCCTGAAGGGGTGCTGCCTTCAGAGAACCCCACTGCTGCTCAATGTCGGTGCAACTTAGGTCATCTAAGTCAGACTCTTCAACCCTAAAAAAAGAACAGTCCAAATATTATTTCCACTCCCTTGGGTACTTAAACTTGGTCAAAATAGAGCCGAATGCAGCGCTGGTAAGGTTACCTTGACAGGTACAGAAGCACTGCATTGCACTTCTCGGAAGCTCCAGCCGGGCATTGACATTCAGGCGAGGAGTCTTTGGTAACACGCTGGCCAGGTGGTTTTGACAAATCAACCCAGATTTCAATAACATACGGAGTTTTTGGTGGTAACTCCGGTAGTGCGAAGGACTAGAGCCTGGATGTGTAGTTCGTCATCATTTTTGGCTTTTATACCAATTGCGACAACAAACCCGGCCTGTAGCACTTGTTCGCCTTCGCGTATAGGTCTCTCAAAACCTATCGACGCATTAACAGCGTCTAACACCGATAAAATCATGCTGGATTGTAATATTGACAACGATTACCCTACACACGCCGTGTAAACAGATCCCATGGATAGCCTTTAGAGAGCTTCGCGGAGCGGCCACCAGGGGCGCGCGGGAGATCTTTGCGTCGCCAATAAGTGCTCGAGATACCTCGTAAGGTTTTCAGCGTGCTCCCCTGCATCTAGCGACGCGATCTCGTTGCCTCACTGTCACAAACATCGTTCAGGTCATTAACAATTGAGTTCAACAACGGAAACAATCGTTTGTTTCAGATTTCCTCTACATGGCGCACGAATGTTCCGTGTGCCGCGCAGCGTTTGCATCGTTGCCGGAGCTGGATGCGCACGCCCAATCCCATGCAGACAAGAAGCGTTTCGAGTGCGCAGTTTGTAGTAAGAAGTTTGCTGCGAAAGCTTATCTCATAAGTCACCTACGTATCCACTCAGGGGAAAGACCTTTCCAGTGTCCAAGATGCATGAAGACGTTTACTCATAAAAGTGCCCTCAAGACTCATGGAAGGACTCATACGGGGGAAAAACCCTTCCAATGCACAGTTTGCAAAAAACGGTTCAGTTACAAAAACCATCTCAAAAACCACGGTACTGTACACACAGGGGAGAAACCCTTCGAATGCACAGTGTGCAGAAAGCGGTTCAGTCAAAAAATCCATCTAAAAAAACACAGTACTGTACACACAGGGGAATACCATGTGGAGTGCGCTGTGTGCAACAAAAGGTTCGTTAGCAATTCTCAGCTAAGATTGCATCTTACAATCCATACGGGGGAAAAGCCTTTCGAATGCACAGTTTGCAATGCCAAGTTTCGTCTCAAAGATGCCTTGAAAAAGCATCTTGATACCCACACAGGGGTGAAGAACTTCCAGTGCGCAGTTTGCGACAAGAAGTTTCAGAGGCCAGAACATCTGAAAATCCATCTTAGGTCTCATACCGGCGAGATGCCTTTCAAGTGCACAGAATGCGGTAAAAGATTTGCTCAATCAAGTAACCTAAGAACACATCTCCGAACCCATTTAGGGCAAAACCCTTTTTGAGTGCCCATTTTTTTTAAAAAAAGTTTGGAGATAATTTCAGAGTTCACCTCAGAACCCACACCGAGGAAAAGCAATTCGAGTGCACAGTTTGCAGTAAGAAGCTGAGTTCAGCTAATTCGCTCCGAGCTCATCTAAGAATCCATACGGGAGAAAAGCCTTTTGGGTGCACTGTTTGCGGAAAATACTTCAGAGATTCAAGCGATCTCACGAAACATCTGAGAGCTCATAGAGGAGAGTTGCTTCACGAGTGTTCAGTTTGCAATAAAAAGTTTCGAGATAGAAAATATCTTAAAAGTCATTTAAGAATTCACTCCGGAGAAAAGCCTTTTGAGTGCACTGTTTGTATGAAGAAATTTACAATGGCATCTACCCACCGAATGCATGTGCGAAGACATACAGGAATTAAGTCATTCGAGTGCATGGTTTGTGAAAAGAAGTTTTTGGAAAGCGGTCATCTGAGGAAACATTTAAGAACCCACACGGGGGAAAAGCCCCATGAGTGCACAGATTGCAGCAAGAAGTTTACTGAAGCAAGTAGTCTTAGAAAACATTTAAGAACTCACACTGGGGAAAAGCCGTTTGAGTGCACAGTTTGTAAGACGAAGTTTACTGACGCAGGTAATCTTAAGAAACATCTAAGAACTCACACAGGGGAAAGGCCCTTTGAGTGCACTTACTGCCAAAAGAAGTTTGCCCAAGCTGGAAATCTCAAAATTCATCTCAGAACCCACACGGGGCAAAAGTCCTATGAATGCACAGATTGCAGCAAGAAGTTTACTTTCGCAAGTAGTCTGAAAACCCATCTCAGGATCCACACGGGGGAAAAGCCCTTTGAGTGCACTTATTGCAAAAAGAAGTTTACCCAAGCTGCAACTCTCAAATCTCATCTCAGAACCCACACGGGGCAAAAGCCCTTTGAGTGCACTTACTGCAAAAAGAAGTTTGCCCGAGCTGGAACTCTCAAAATTCATCTCAGAATCCACACGGGGCAAAAGTCCTATGAATGCACAGATTGCAGCAAGAAGTTTACTTTCGCAAGTAGTCTGAAAACCCATCTCAGGATCCACACGGGGGAAAAGCCCTTTGAGTGCACTTACTGCAAAAAGAAGTTTGCCCGAGCTGATAAACTCAAAATTCATCTCAGAACCCACACGGGGCAAAAGCCCTTCTATGAATGCACAGATTGCAGCAAGAAGTTTACTTTTGCAAGTAGTCTGAAAACTCACCTCAAGACACACAGGAGAAAAGCTCTAGAGCACGGTCTGCAACAAACACTTCAGTCTGAGACATCAACTCAAGAGCTACCTTCACACTCATCTTGAAGTGCAGCCTGTTCTGTAGTCTGCTGGGATTGGTACATTCTTCATTGTCGCCTTCTTCTACTATTTTTAAGCCACGCTGTCGTATAATCAAATTTAAGTGACTTTTCTCCCACGAGATACAGTTAACTTGCATGATATTTTGTTCTGTTTTTCTCAGTTTGTCAAGGCGAATTAGTTTCTTTTCCTTTGGTTTAAATTTTTTTGAAACGGGCATGAATTGATTTTTAAGTGTCCTCCTTGCTCATGCTATAGTTGCGAGTGCAATGGTTTTTTATACGAAAGACCAATCCCTTTTTAAAACAAGTTCTATATGTATGTAACAAATTTCAGATTGACTGAGTCACCAGTACGTTCTCTGTAAATTGTTTGTGAATTTACTATGTAAGCTTCATAACAATTGTGTTCATCCTTTTCAAAATGCAAAGATGACTATAATTTCGTTCTTGTCGAATGACTAATAAATTGCTACAATTATATTTGACGTATAATGCCTTTCTTATTTACTCTTAAGTTAGTGAGTCGTCTGGAGCAACACGTTTCCAGTTAAAATTGTAGGGTAAAATTTTGGCTCCACATCAGACTTGCAGCTTCCAATGAAAGACTCTGGCTATTACTTAATGTCAAGTCGAGCCAAAATATTTCAGTTGTGCGTTAACTGGCCGCACTCACGTGAGAACGGCTTCACGTCAATATGTCTTCCACACTGCACTAAAAAATCAAGTGTGTATTTAGCACACACTTTAATGCACTTTGTGAGCTCTGAGTACACACCGAAGTTTTCAGTGCTTTTTGCGAAGTCTCCACAGCTTCCGCAGTGTTTGTGTCGCTGTCGCGGCTGATTGCTGTGGGGCGGCGACGAGGCGCAGACCACGCGGCTGGCCCACCTTTGGGAGAGGTTCTGTC